AACGCACCATAGAATAAGCTTAAATAGCATACAGCACTGGTAATAGATTAGATTTAAATTAAGTCTTCAGTATAATCATTATCGTGTCAGTAATTGGGAATCATCAGAATAGCTGATAAATTAAATCTGGATTTGTGAATTACTGAAATTCAGAACAGCCTAGCATTAAGTGTGAATGTATAAAAAGTCAAGAGTGACAGTAAAGGAAGTAGCGTTACTTCTCTCAGTAAAGAAATGATTATGAACGCAGAAATGAAATGTCTCTCTTCATCTGCCCTTTTCTTGAATGACACTGATGGTTCCTGTCATCCTGTGCCACAGCCGAGGCCGGGACACAGTGGAGAGTTTGGGTGAGTGCCTCCAGCCCTGCAATTGAGCTCACTAATTAAACTATTAATCTCACACCATTAACCTCCGATGACACTTTCCTCCCTGAATTCTGACATTGCTGCAGTGGCTTATGAAAACAACTTCCCATCAAATCTCTTCAACCTCCAATTCTCTCACACTTCATCTTTGCTGACACCGTTTCCACATTATATTACTTTTGCACGGCTTGCTTCCTCTCAGAGTACATTTTCTGTTGTTTACACCTCCCTCCACCTTAGTTGTGCTTTCAGTGAGACTGACTGTATGATGTTGGTGGACTGCAGCTGCGTGTGCTAACTGCATTACTCTCCGAGAGCCTCTCCAAGGTGGATCTGGTTACTTTTAATTAAAGAAGTATCAATTCTTTGTCCCTGACAGTGTTTGAAATGGGTGACCATATGGACACTTAAAAATATAATCCAATTTCCAGGCCCTTACCAGCCCCCATCTGGTCACCCATCTCCTAAACCACTTTGGCATTTCCAGCGCATCATTCCATTGTTGGAGCTTAAGAAACTGCTAAATCAGTCTACAGAGGTTAACTCAAAAGGTACAAGCATCACAAAGAAGGTCATGTAGATTTAAAGGCTTTGGGAGGATTCTAGTTTTTCTAATAAAAACAAGAAGAAGTTACATGAGGATTTTTCAGTGTGAAATTAAAAGTATAAACATATAATTAGCGCAAGGCCCCAGGAGACATTTGTTTATAGTCTCGTCGTTGCATGATTAAAAAAAATAAACTATGGCAAAGAAACGGTGTAAAGGAATAAAAAAACTGTAGTTACTCTGCTATGGTACAAAGATCACAAATGGGACAATAAAATCTACTGCATGGCTTTGTGATATGATGTAAAAAAAATATAGTACTTTAAACTTGTTGTGTTAAGCATGGTGTCTGTTTAGTCCTCCTGCTACTGGTGGGAGTCTGATTTGACCCAAAGAAGGTCTTGGTGGTCGTGCAGCACCACACAGGAAACCATCTTATATTATAACATGAGAAGAACCGGATGAAACACATACATCAAAAGCTTATTAAAGCCAATGAAATAACTCAGAGTGACAGCACCAGAGAAAGATAACCATTACATTTAAGTGCTGCCTATGTGTGACTTTGAGGCTGACCTTGTGCGCTGCAGGGTCTATTGTGTTTGAGAAAGCTGTGTGGAGGCCCACTTGATTAAGCTGAGCTCCCTGGGGATCAATGTTACGTCTGTGATCAGCACTCAGCCTAATCACATTGCATTGTTTGTCTATTCAATGACGATATAAGATGAATGATCCACAAAGCCATAACATTGATAGTTTTTTGCAGACAGCTTCTTCTTGTAATTTGTCCCGTTAAATGTTAAGCATTGCAATGAACAAGAAGTACGACAAGAAAACTTTGAAAGGCTACAGCCCCGTGCAGGCAAACACAGCGCAAGGTTCTCACATAAATGCATGTTTTCTACCTGTGGTTTCTTTGCCTGCTTAACTTTTTGAAGGGGGGGTCACCAAACTGAGGCCATATAATTAGCAACTTGCCAGGCACCCTGGCCATAATATTTGTCTGGTGTCTGCCCTGTAATACAGCAGATCCAAACCAGAAATATCAAGCTCACATAACTAAGCTGCGTACAAATTAAAGACACCAAACACACGCAACCCTGCCATTAGTGGTAGGTGTTATTTTTGACCCCCCAGCTGTCTTATTTTAATTCTATGCCTTTTCTGCTTTACAGGGTGGATAATAGCAGTTCTCTTTCTGTGTGTGCTTACATTACACACAGATAAATCCCATACCACATGCCTTTTTTCCCCCCTCAAATGATTCATTATGTTGAAACTTTGCTTTTTTCTGTACCCATATTTAAGCACAAAAGTTTGGGTGTAGTTTCAGTAAAATTATCTTGTTGTGACTTGTGGCATCAGAGTATACATGTCAGTTAATTAAAACGCTTGACGTAGATTTTTTTAATCTGCACACGATACGATCGGTGAAATTAGAGACCAGAGCAGCCTAACTTTCATAGAAGTGGAAACACAGCAGCAGGATGTGTGTGCATCTTTAACAACCTGCTAGGTAGAACACCAAATGCATGTCAGGGAGATACATTATTATAAAATGGAAAAATATATAAATAACCAAACAATCAAGGGATTCAAATGACTTGCCATCCAATAATTTTTTGCTTGTTATTCACTTTTGCATGTAGCTATCTGCGCTACATAGATTAAAGACAGCACAAAAAGCAGTACATTTTAATAACCAATGCTGAGCTGCTCTGAACATCTGACAGATTAAACGTTTTCGAATATATGTGCACCTTCAGTGATGACAACGTGAGCACATTCTTTATAGCTTTATAAAAACTGCATACCACAGTACGGTAATCGTTTGTGTGTGTGTGTGTGTGTGTGTGCGCGCGCGCAAGGAAACTAACAGGAATGTTACATAGAATGAGAGAAAAGAAGAGAATCTCAAAAAACGAGTCATATAGATTTTTTTAGGGGTGCACCGATAAATCGGCCCCGATTTCCTTAATTTTGGAAGATGGGAGATCAGCCAATACTTTACCTGTTTTTTGGTAGTTTTAACAATTGTCTAAACTTTATTTATATTTCAGAGCAGGCCTGTCATGATAACAAATTTTGCTGGGGGACTAATTGTCTCAGAAATTATTGCGATAAACAATAATATTGTTTGAAATTTGACAATAATTTGTAATTATTACGAAGAAATGTTTGTTAATTTGTTTTGCATAGTAACTTTTTTTGACCACTGGATGACAGTATAAGACCAGTTGAATCGAAGGATGGATAGTGAGGGAGAGAACAGCGTGTCTCTTTAAGAAAAATGGGAGGGAGGCCTCTTGACGTGACATGTGCTGTCTCTCTTCGGTTCTCAAGGCAGATGCTCGGTGTGGTTTGAGCTCTTTAGCATAGCATTTTTCACACAAAGCTTTTGATAAAAATAAAAAAAAATCAGTAAACAAGTTCTCAGCTTCTTTTTGCAGAGAAAAACATTTTACATGAAGGCACAGGTTTCAACTGTGAATTTTGGAGCTTTGACAAGACGGAGGTTTTTTTCCTTGAGGACGGTTTGTTAGCTTAGCTTGTAGCTTAGCTTCTCAGCTTAGCTGCTTTTAACGATCCAAAAACACAATTTTGGAAGGTTAAAATGGATTTTAAAGAGAAAGGGAGGGGTCAGTGAAGAGCACCGAAGTTTAGCTTTTTGTCATCCAGTGTCTTCAGTAGAAAGAGAGACACAAAGAAACGATAAAGCCGATGAATGAAAATAAGGTCGATAATTTTCATTTATCATGAGATTAATTGATTTTTTGTTTATCGTGACAGACTTATTTCAGAGCACTACCTCATGGCCAGTTAAAACAAGTTTGTATTGTTTCTAGGATATTGTTCAAGGGTATGTTTTTTATTTTATTTTATTAAATAAGACTGGAAAATTGAAGGTGCATTGTGATCTTATAACACACGACAGTGTCGCTTTTAAAACAAAATCGTATCGGCCAAAATCGAAATCCAAAGGTCAGGCTTTTTAGAGATTGGTGATTGGCCAAAAAACTGCAATCAGTGCACCCCCTTTTTATTTTACTTGGTCTAAACAAGCACTATATTGTTTGCTTTTAAACCATGAATTCTCTACTTATATTTAAGTTGTGGGTTAATTTTTTATTTTTCTGAGTTTAATATGTGTTAGCAACTACGGTTGGATGGCAAAAACAAGTTTTGTTTCAAAAATATCTCTGGAGGTGTAGCCCTTTGTGTGTAAAACAGAAGTATTATCAAAAATAAACTGAACAACTCCAGTCAATCTTTGATTTCGTCTGATCAAATTCCATGCGGAACAAAGGCAGTGAACACACCACGAGAAAAAGACAGGACGGCAAATACTTTTCTGCAAGGCCAAGTTTACAGTGATACTGCACAAAAGACAACACACCATAAGAACACAGGCCTTATAGACAGAAAGGCAAAGGTTGGAGAAAAACAAATCCTCTTTGATGCATGTTTGAAAAGACAGAGCTCTTGCTGTGGTCAGATTGGTAGTGGGGGGACGGGGGCAGGGCATAATTGAATTACAGTGACCCAATGACAGCACTATAGGTGAGGTCATGTGTTGAACTAATTCTGTTCCTGACCTCGTCTTTGATGGGGGAGTGCCTCTTGGCAGCCCCAGAGACCCTAAGGTCCAGCAACAAAGACACATCTTTCAGATTGTCTTTTTTCAGCCAAAAGTGTCATCCACAAAGACAACGAAGCACAGAGGCCGTCAGATCTGCACTGTGTGCTTATTTTTAACTCGGACACTAAAGTTCGAGCCAAATGTGGGGGCATGATTTTGACACAGATGTCTGTTAGTTGTAATCCATTACAGATACAAAATGGAATCTATATTGTAGTTTAAATGAAGTGGAAAAACTAATTTATTTTAATTTTTCCACTTCATTTAAACTACAATATAGATTCCATTTAATTTATTTTAATTTGCAACAATTACATCTCCTTATATAATCTCTTTATATAGGAGGCAGCTGATCACTGAATGCGATGCTAAAATCCACAGTGGCGCGGTGTTACATTGTAAAGTAAACTATTGCACAACAGTACAGGTGAACGGGGTTACTTACTGTCTGCCAGAGACGAGATCACCACTGAGCTGAGTAGAAGCAGGAACAGCGACGCCCCTCTGGGCAGGAGGGGCCCTGCCAGGTGAATGTTAGGCACCATGTTCCGAGTTGGCACTGCTCCCTCCTCAGTCCCCTGCTAGACGTGTCCCACTCTGACAGGATCAAAGACTAACACCTGGGAGAGCAAAAACACGCAGAACACGAACATTAGTATTCAAACTCGCTTTTTATTTGCATACATTTGAATCAGCAGCAAAACACAGTTATGCAGAAATATCAAGAGCAAGTCGCAAAGCGGAACCAAACGAGACCGATTTTAAGTGTACTTGCTTTAAAAAAAACAACAAAAAAAACACAGCAACAGCAGCAGCACACAACAGTGGAGATCTTTGTTCGCGATCAACGACACATCTAATACCCAAAACAAATCCTGCTCGGAGCAGACGACAGTAAAAGTGAAGTGAATGTAACATACAGATTAAATCAGCAGCAGAAGAAAAAAGAAATGTGCTGCTCTACAGAAGGAAATTATTAAGGAACAAAACAAGAACCAAAGGGAGGTCAGGATGCAGAATGAAACGACTCAGCCGGCCGCTCACAGTGGGACTGGTTAAAAACCCAGAGGACCTCCTAAACACAAGTCCCAAAGGACCTCAGCCCACTTAATGTTTCCCATTAGGAAATTGAAACTGTGCCATCCAGATGGTTTCAAATCACACAAATAGTCATGATCTCATAGAATTACAACAAGGCCATATTAATAAAACTATAACATGCAACACAGTAAAGGGCGGGTGGGGTGGGACTGGGAGGTATGGCTATCAGATGGTAAACAAAGACAAAGCAGGTGTACTGCAAATAAACCATAATTATTCCAACTATCTTACAGAATGCATTGCTTTATTGGAGGAGACACAAAGCAAAGATTGTCCTTCAAATGAAACCACATCAGCACTGATGTGTCTGCCTATGAATTAGATTCACTGTTGGATATAACTCAGCCATCTGATTAAGATATGACCTTAAGTTTGTTACAGCCTCCAGTAACAATGTCGGATGCCATTATAAACAAAGTAGCATTGCATTCTTGTAAATTGAACTAACTATAATTCTAACGAATGCTATCTTGCCAATGGCCTTCTGTGATGTGTAACTGTAATGCTGTAAAGAAAATGACTCCACAGTGAGGACCGATCTCGCTCCGTGGATGGAATGAAAAGCACCACGTCGAGAAAATCCCAAAACGAAAGACCTAAAACGAGAAAGAGTCGTAGCAAGCATACCTACGTCATTGATTTTGGCAGAATATTTTAAAGGGTATTTATGAGCTCTTTCAGTGAAGCTCACTGAGTGGCAACGAACAATGCTCATTTCTGTATTTGCGAAAAGGGAAAAAGAGGAGTTGACAATGCAGAATATCTTGAGGCTTGCTGGGTGGCCAGTCAGCTTTAGTCTATTCAGTTCAGTTAAATAAGTTAGAGTGTCAGGAACACAATGCCTCCAGTATCTGGTGGAAAAAAAAAAACATTCTGGAGCCCTTGGAGGTCTTGAGCAGCCCATTACTCATGTGGTTCCATTCTATATTGGTGGAAACAGGAAAAAGGCACACTACAGCCACATATAAACCACTATCTTTGTTTGACATGACAAACAAAAACAATCTTTCAGGCTTTAGAGAAGCAAAATGTCAATCTGTTTTTTAGTTTACTTTGACAAGTCAGTTGGTGAAAGACATACGTGCATGACTTAGTGAGACCATGAGAAGGAATGCAGTGAATGAGTCTGGACTGGTACCTCACCTGGGCAGTGGGCAAAGATGCAGACAGGTAGTGATGACAGCCAGCTCTTCATCGCTGCCTGTCACTGTACAGGAATGTGCCTCCAGGCTTCCATGCCTGCTAAACTAATTTGTGATTCCAAGCACACCTTGCATCTAAGAAATTTCCAAACGCAGTACAGTCAACATTATCTATCGTCAGTGAAGGTTTAAGATGTGATCATATCAAAGTGTAATACACTCCACCCTGCACGTAGACTTCGGAGAAATCAGCAGCAGCTCAAGTAATTTAAACCCCCACCCTCGAAGAAAAAAAAAACGGCTTTCCTTTTTAACTGTTATTGGGAAAGCGGTTTACTGCTGGTGTGTTAAGCTGTTACAGTCTGAAGAAGAAGGAGGGGAAAAAAAGCACAAATACGTTGCTGAGGATGCCAAAAAACTGGATCACGCCCCTGCTCTGCAGCAGAAATTAAAGATGTTTAGACCCCATTTTTATTTCCAGTTAATACCCAAACTTAGCGTAGCAAAGTGAGTGTAACACACATCAATTTTACTGGCTGACTAATTTGTTATGACACTCATTTTAATGTACGTCAGTGCAGCTCTTGATCATGTCAGTGGAGAGAAAGTGAGTGAAGCTCATAGAGCTGGCTACTCGCCGTGCTCCAAACCCTTAGCGGTGGAGGGATATCTTTCGCAGCAGACGCCAGAAAGAGGCAGATGCTTTTCAACTTCAATGAGACAAATTCCTTGAGCGAGGCTTATTCTTTATTTATTTAGCTGCTTATTTACCCCAGTGAAGCTTGGTCCCTCCTAGCTGCGCATAAATACTTTGGGACAAGTCTTGCCACTGTGTACATTTGTATTGTAGCGGCAGAGCAAACAAGAGGACGGCGCTAATGTGGAAATGCTGCAGTGTGATCCAACATCTAAGCAAATGGCTCAGCAAACAAAAAGACATTGTTGTCTGCTGTTTGCAAGTATGTGGGAGATGGGAGGAAAAAAAAAACTGTGAAATTGTGAGAGTGGATGCTCATCCTTCTGTGTTTCTAATGATTTCTCTCAAAAAGCTTGGTTAGTGTGTGAGGTAGAGAAATAAGTGTGCAGCAGCATTTAATGCTATAATGATCAAATAGAATATTTCACCAGAAACTGAGCAATGGATTTCCGAAGCTAATCGTTTTACAGCTAAAGTAGTCAAATAAAGTGCACAAACCAAGTCAGTGTTTGTAAATCTGTTCACAAGAAACGTTTGGAGCAGGCAAACACTTTTTGGACTGGTCCAAACTAATCCTAAATTACCGTATTTTTCAGCCTATAAGTTGCATTTTTTTTTGCATAATTTGCATACCCTGCGATTTATAGGCCGAAGCGACGTATTAATGGACTTTTTCCCATATTTATAAACCAATTTTTGGCTGAAATATGACCATTTTCATTCATTCAGACTGGCATTTTTTAACAGTACCATTTTCAGCCATTAGATGGCAGCAGAGTAGTAGTAGCAGTATGGCATGCTGTTGTATCATGTACGTAAACGTGGCTATAATGACAAATTAAAAAAGTTCAAAACAAAAACAAATGGACTTTATTTATTATACTTTATTGTTTTTGTCTTGAACTTTTTTGAACTTACCATGTCCTAGATGACGGAGAATCTTCACCAGCTATTAACAACATAATTGGCTTGCCCCAGTCCCCCACACCTTCGCTCTGCTTGCTGCTTGGAGCAAGTCAAACCAGCAGCACCGCCCCAGCGAAATGCAGCTAATTTGACCATTAATGTCCTTTTATCAAGTAAAAGTTCATCTGAGACACACCTTTGCTATAATTTCGAGCAAACAAATGTTTTAGGTGCTTTTCTTATTAAATTTCGAAGAAACAAGCAGCGTTCCTCCTTTTTATTTCCCTCCCTCTGCACGCTCGCGGAGCACAGAGGCAGCAAATGCAGTTGATTTGACTGTTAAAGATCTTTTATTAAGCAAATGTTAGACTGAGACACACATTTGCTATAATTTCGAGCAAACAATTGTTTTTAAGTGTTAATCTTGTTAAATTCTTGTTAAAGTCCTCCTGTGCATGCTCCCGCAGCCGCCATTTGGCTGCCAATAGATTTTTGGCACATTGGCCAACATTTCCGGGTTGTCAGCGGTGACGCATAACAAACGCGACGCGTCAGCGGAGATGCATAATATATGCAACGTATACGGCGAAGCAACATATTTATGGATTTTTCCACTTTTTTAGACATATTTGGACTGATGCAACTTATAGGGCGGTGCGATGGGTATGGCGGAAAACACGGTAGTTGTTTGTTTAATCATACCTCTGCAGCTGGCATACCAAAGCAGCACATTATTTCAGTTAATAAACCTAAATTAACTCCTTAACAAACTCATATAGTAAGCTAAACAATCGTAGTATGGGATGTATTATCCATTAAGTTAAGTTCATCACTTCCCTTTAGTAAAGCATGATAATGGCAGCATTAGGAATATAATGCACAAACAACCAAGCACAAGTAAAATAAGGAAATGAGTAACGATGCTGTTGGTGGTGGGGAGCAATGGGATTAGCTGGAAGCAAGAACCTAAATTAAAAATTTGCTTTGGGCGTCATACATCCCTGGGCTGACTACAATTAGGACAAAGATCCAGGAAAATACACAAGAACTGCAACACATAAAAATAAGAGAGATTTAGAAAAGGATATGAAAAAAATGAGAATTATCCTTATCAGAAACTTTTTTTTCTATAGGACCTAAGATTTCAGGGTTGAGATAAAGTTAACAGTTTAACACAAAGACCTGAGGCAAAGCTCTACAAAAATACAGGAGTGGGTTTAAAACTAATATCTAAAAGTAATGAAGGGATCTAGACTAAATCTGGGACTGAACCCAGAAAAGCTGATAAGGCATGGAGAAGCCAGACACTGACACTTCTCTATCCACAGTGTCAATGTTTAGCTTAAACAGTTTCAACCCCCCCAAAAGGGAGATATTACCTCAGGAAAGGTGTGTCAAACTCATAGAATCATTTGCAGCACGATTTAAGAAATAAACCAAGTCCTTTTACAGAAGTATTCTAAAATAAGACGTGGGAACTGTCAGAAAACCAGACATCTGCACATTTTCAAGAACTGTAAAATTACATCAATTAACCAAGATTTGTATTACAGCCCTGTTCACGTCTGTGTTGAGAGTTTAAAGCAAACAAAACCTTTATTTTAAATATACTGTGTTTAAGCAAGATGAGTTAACCATGAAAAGTGTTGTAGGGAAAAACAAGCTAACCAAAGATTAGTTTTTCATATTCTTAATTTCATTATCACCTCAAAAACAAGGTCATGTTTTGAATAAATACGGTATAGGGGAGGATATGTTTAATCAATAAGAGTTT